ACGAGCTACTATGAGCCGTAGAGGTCACAGAGCAAGTGTGTTGACTTTTCTAGAGAGTATGTGAGCTGGGTTTGTGGGCACAGCATAAGAGTAGTGACAATTCTGGAAGACTGTCATTGATTGAATGCTCACACTACCCCAGGCATTGTCCTAGTGGCTTTACATGTATTCATCCATAAGCCTCATGAGGTAAGTGCTCTTTGGATTCTCATTTTACAGAGGAGGCTCAGGGATGTTGTCACTTGCCCAATGTCACAGTAAGTGGAAAAATTGAGAATTTGGCCCAGGCATTCTGGCTCCAGAGCTATGTTCTTCGCTGCTGTATTCCACTGCTCTCTAATTTAAAAGTTCTCCATGGGCTGGCCGGTTGCTCGGTTGGTTAGAGCACAGCATTGTAACACCAAGGTCAAGGGTTCAGATCCCCATACTGTCCAGTCACCAAAAATAGATAGATAGATAGATAGATAGATAGATAGATAGATAGATAGATAGATAGATAGATAGATAGATAGATACAAGCTCTCCAGGCCTGGGACGGGCTTTGCAGATGCAGCAGCCCTAAAGAGCAGTGGCGTAAACTTGCCGAGGGTGCAGAAAATGGGTACAGTCAAGTGTTCTGGGGCTAAGGGGCCAGTGAGGACTGAGGTCTTTTCACCGATGGCAGAGAGCCTGGTTGCTTGATATGAGACCACCCCATTGCAACCCCTAATGCCCTCTCAGATCCCCTTTTCTAGTTAGCATATTTTGGGGTTTTTTTGTTTATTTGTTTTGTTATCTTCTATGTAGTTCCTATTGATCACCCTCACAAAATGCTCTGAGAGGGCAGAACGACCATTTTGCTGTCCCCTGCCCAGCACAGGGCCTAGGACAAAGTAGTTGCTCAGTATATGTTTATTGAATGAACAATTGACTAAATGTCAGATTTGGAGTTTTGCCTTAGAAAATAGGCTGTTGGCTAGGAGGATAGAACTGTACTTTGTGTTTTCCTGGAAGTTTATGTAACCTAGGAATGGAGCTGATTTCCAGGCTCTTCCCAGAGATAATGAATCTCCACTAAGTGAGCCAGCTTGGAGAAGAGTACATTAGGTTGAGGAGAGCCAGAGAGATTGGGGCCAAGGGTGGCTGGCACAGGAAAGCTTTAGGCATCAGTCAGGCAAATGAGGTTTTAATAAAGATTCATTTCCCCCTCAAGTGAGCTGTTTTGGGGGACAGAGTTGGGTTGGGGGTTAATTTGTGACATTGCCCTCATTTTCTTCCTATTAAAATACTGATTTATTTGGTAACCTTAGTGATTACATTAAATATGATCACAATATTTAAATGCAGTACAAAGTTTGTAGAAACAGTGATTAATAATATTGCATTCCAAATTCCTGCTATATCATTAATCTGTTATTCTGAATTCAGATTAAATTTAAATTTGTTTAAAATTTTTTGCAAAGGTGGTAATATATTCACGTATATACACTTTTTCTTTTAAGTACACAAAAATGTGCTTGGTTTCTGTTTCTCAGGTTTGCGTTTTCTGTTACATGGGCAGGTTCTGAACTTAAGCAGAGACAGTAGCCTGTCATCTCCAGCGATGAACATCATCCCCCTGGACTTCTGCAACCTGAGTTAATTAAAAGGTTCAGATGAAGTTAATCAAGTTTGGAACTCTAATTTTGTGCAGTGTTTTGATATGATTGGATGAGTCATCTTTTGGCAGAGTGGCTCTCCATCCCTGACAGTGTTTGATCTTAATGGAACAGTTGTATAATCTGTAAACTAGTGGGGAGGTGCTCTTCAGAAATGCAGAGTCAACAGTGGTGTGTGTGTGTGTGTCTGGCAGTTTGGGAGGGGTGGAAAGCAGAACAAAGAGGAGAATTTAATAAGCAAGAACTTGTCAGAGGCTAGGGTCAGTTCTGAGGCTGCTGCCTAAGAACATTGGTTTCTTCCCGCCCCCTTCCACCCCTGCTAACTGGAGTGCTGACATTCGAAAAAGAGTGAAAAAAGAGAGCTTCTGTTTGCTTTGCTGCAAATGAGTGGCTGGGCTGACTGGCCCCCTTCCCAGAGGCTCTGAGAAGACTTCAGATGTGGTCAGTGAGGTATGTGGATGGTGCCAGCCTGCCGGCCCTCGTCCAGGCAAACTGTACTAGGAATAAGCGAGGGGCCCAGAGCCACAGTGGGGCCTGCTGCTGGCTGCTTTTGCTCCTCCTCTTAGTGCCATCTTATTTTTTTCTAAGATGAAGTTGGTCTTACTCTGAAGATTGAGAGGCAAGGTTTTGACCTCCGCCTCTTCTTGTCACCCACTGAACTTAAAGGACCCATCTGGAAAATGCATCTCACAAAATTGGGTCAAATGGGGTTCCCCTGAGGTGGGGGCAAAGAGCCAGACCACTTGGAATCTTTAGTGTTGTGGTTCTGCATGGTCCTACTGTTTCTTCTGGATTCCCATTAGGGTTAAGAAGCACAGATTCTGAAGCCAGATTTGAGTTCACATTTCTGTTCCATCACTTCTTGGCAGTTAACAGTGAGAGAGTCTCATAATGTCTGAACCTTAGCTTCCTCTGTACTTTACAGATCAGGAAGCTGAAGTTCAGAGGCATTATACTTACCTGCCAGTTTCACTAGGTTATTGTGAAGATCTAATTAATATTAATGTGTGTAAAATGTTTAGCATGGTGCCTGGCACATAGTAGGCACTGTAACAGTTTGGGCTTGCTCCCAGAGCTGTATTTTCTAACCAAAAGATGAAAAACTTCGTGGTGAGGGCTGAAAAAATTACCCTCTCTTCTTGGTCCCTTGTAACAGTTGGTACTTTTGTCCCAGTGACACAGATATGAGAGGATTGCTCAGGAGGCAGCCAGCATGGGGCTCCTGCTGCTGTCCACAACCCCAGCGGCTTGATAGCAAGCCATCTCACTCAGTCTCTGCATGGTTGCCACTAAGCCACTGGGCCTTGGATTGTGCAGTCTGAGTGGCTTGTGCTTGGCATTGCCTCTGTCATCTGCTCAGGCAACACTGATACCCATTCTGGGTCTTGTTGCCTTGTCCTCTCAGGAGTAATTGACAGGAATAGCTGTTGACATTCAACACAGTTCCATCGGAGCGTCCTCTGCTTTGGCTGCACTAGCAGATGTCCAGATGCCTTTTTTTTCATGGGATGTTGGAAAAGAGGTTTGGTCTAAACAGGGAATAACTGCCACTTCTGCAGTCTTTTCTTCCCTCTCCTCCCAATAGCTTACTTGATTGCGTTTACTTGCTACAAATAGGGATACCAGCAACACATCTGCAAAGTTAAAAGTTAAGCCTGGATGATGGCAGATCAGTGTTGGCCAGCATCCAAATTGTCATCACTTTGAGTCGGTTGCCATGTGTTCAGGTAGAATTGAGAGTTCCAGAAGTTGTGTTCTTGAAAAAGAAAAGAGAATAACATTCCTAGACAGGAAACAGTATTCAGAATAAATAGTTGTTCTGGAACTTTTTTTTTTTTTCTTTAAACCTCCAACATGCAGAGCCCTATATTAGGCATTTGAAAGTTGCCAGAGAAGTACAGGCCAGATGCAGAGACCAAGACTCACTCGCCATTGTACCTTTAGCACCTAGGTCTGCCTGGCACAGAGTAAGTACTCGGTGGTGCTGGTTGAATGAATGACTTCCTGCTACTTGGAGAGTGGTTCTCAACCCAGGCTTCTCGTAACTAGAGCTGTTTGTGAGTCTTAAAATAGAAGACTCTGATTCTTTGTCTGGGATGCGTTTCAAATACTTGAATTTAAGATTGCCTGAGTTTTTTGTTTGTTTGTTTTGTTTTTTTTAAAAAAAGATGACCGGTAAGGGGGCCTTAACCCTTGACTTGGTGTTGTCAGCACGATGCTCTCCCAAGTGAGCTAACCAGCCATTCCTATATAGGGATCCAAACTCTTGGCCTTGGTGTTATCAGCACGGCACTCTCCCAAGTGAGTCACAGGCCAGCCCCTAAGATTGCCTGAGTTTTCAATCTACCTTACCTTTTAGGGAAGAACCCCTTGTACTGATAATATAATTTTCTGAATAAGTTTACTTTTTTAGTCAACAAATACTTATGAGAATTAAATGAAAGTAATTTGCAAACTGTAGAGCCCCCTCTCCAGGCATGAAGTGTGGTCCCAGAGCACCCAGGTTTTATGTCTAGAAGTTGATCCCCACGTCTCTACTTCTGCTCTGAAATAGCCTGTGTAATGTGGGAGGAAAGGAGTGTTGACCTTAGAGATGAGGCTCAAAGCCAGCTGTACCCTTTCCTTGTGGAACATGGAGGGAACAAGAATGCCTGCCCACCCAGCATGCAGGTGACATCATAGACAAAGTGTAGTGGCGGTAGAAGGTGCTTGTATTTTGATCAGTCTTATCCTGCTCCTGTCATATCATTTTGTTAGGGCTAAAAGTTCTAGAAGCCTTGTGGGGGGTCTCCTTAGACAGTAGCTCTGCCTTGCAGCCACCATCTGAACCTTCCCTCTGGTTCACAACCACAATTAAACATCCGTTTCTGGAGGTTGACTTAGTTTTTGTACTAAGGGAGGTTTTGTTTGTAATGACCTGCCTGTCTGATGAGTCTGAGTATTTGGCTGGCCTGTCTGACTGAAGCAGCCTTTGAATTGATGCCTAGAATGCATACCTCCTGCTCCTTACCTGTCTTCTGAGTTGTAATAGGGCCTTTTCCCTCTGCTAGAAATTTCCGCACCATACCCCCTTACTTCCCACCCCCACCACCTAACATCACTCAATTGTTACTTCCTCAGGAAAGCCTTATCTGATACCACCCTACAAATGGTGTCAGACCCCCTATTATACTATCATAGCATTTATCACAGTAAGTTTAGTTGTATAAACGACAAGTGTAATGCCTTTCACTCGGCTCACATTTTGATTAATGTACTGCTTCCTATAAAATAAATTTTTTAAAAACATTAATGATCAACATCTATAAGCATTCCTTATTAAAAGACTGGCTTTATAACCTACCTTCTTTTTTTCTTTCCCAGTGCTCTTGAAATTCCGCACAGATAAAGGAAGAGATCCTAGTTCTGATACCTATGGGGAAGATTCTGAGTTGTTGCTCCAGATAAGAAATGATGTGCTTGACTCACTGGGTGTTAGTCCCGACCTGCTTCCCGAGGATTTTGTCAGGTCAGTCTCAGTATTTATCTCACTTTAGCCTGGACAGATAAGTGTCTGTTTTCAGGATTTGCCTTAATTTGGAAAGATCTTTTTTTTTTTGGAAAGATCTTTTTTTTTTTGGAAAGATCTTTTTTTTTTTGGAAAGATCTTTTTTTTTTTGGAAAGATCTTTTTTTTTTTGGAAAGATCTTTTTTTTTTTGGAAAGATCTTTTTTTTTTTGGAAAGATCTTTTTTTTTTTGGAAAGATCTTTTATGGAGACCCAAATCCCTGAGGAGAGACCCCTTTGCCACATTCTGCCAACTTCGGTAGACCTCTTTCTCACCACTGGCATAACAGTATGTAAAAAATAAAGAGAGGTGCAGTTCTGTTTTTTACAATGCATATTTTATATTCACATGTTGAAAATTCAAAGTGGCTGGCGGGTCAGCTCAGTTAGTTAAAGGGTGGTGTTACAACACCAAGGTCAAGAATTCCAATCCTCATACTGGCCTGCCACCCAAAAAAGAAGAAGAAGAAAAGAAAATTCAAGGCAATATGAGATCTATAAACACTGTTCGGTGCTTTTCTGTTTTCACTTTACATTATCTTACTATCTTTTGAGGATGTGTCCAGATCAGTATGTACTTTACTTCCTCTTTTCTACAGCTCTGTAGTATTCCAGCATGTGGAGTGATATAGTTTATCGAACCAGTCACTTTCTCATTCAAGTTGTGTTCAGGCCCTTGTTAATGCATAATGCAGCAGTGTATGGCCTTGTGTCGTATGTGTGCAAGTATAACTGTAGGATAAATGAGTAGAGCGGGAGTTGCTGCATCAAGAAGATGTGATTTATCATTTGGTAGATATTACCACTTTGCTCTTCATTGGCAGTTTATCAGTTTATGCCCCCAGCAGCGTAGGCACCCATGTTCCCAGCGCCCTGTCCCTTGGGCACTGGGATGCTTTAACCTTACGTGACCAGTCTTTTGCTCTCCTACACAGTTAGGCTTAGGATTTGATTTGAGAAGACCAAATGGTGACTAGGTCATAAACTCCTTCCAGCCAGTTCTGAGATCATCTGTTCACTTTAATTCTCTTTCTGTGTCTTTAGGGACTTCTAAACTCTGCTTTGCTGTGCTTCCAGGTTATAGCCACAATAATGATATTTCCAATCTTTTGAGCAGCTATTATGTACCAGGCACCAGGGTAGTTGCTTTATATACATGATCTCACTTAATTCTTTTTTTTTATTTTGGTCTTTTTTTTTTTTTTCCGTGTCCGGCAACGGATCGCAACCCTCAGTGTCGCCCCCGTACTGGACCGGGACCGGCAACGGGATCGCAACCCTTGGTGTCGCTCCCGCGCCTCGCTCAGCCCCTAAAATGAGTTGTTTTAAGAATTAAGTGAGATAAATAGGCAGCAGTTTACAAGGTACGTTTGTAACATTGGCACTGTGAGGTCAGGGTCTGATGACACTTCAGGCATAGATGGGGGCCCCATCCTACGCCAGCTCAGCCAGGCAGTCATCTCTTGGTGGAGGAAGGACCAGTGTGTGAGAAGCAAAGTGTTGCCTGCTCTGTGTGCTTCACAGCAGGATGAGGGACTGGGTAATGCAGTTCCAACAGACACAGCCAGGCAGTCAGCAGCAAGCTGTGGCTGCTAAACATGCCCTGTGCTGGGTGCTGGGTCGTGAGCATGTAGCCGAGTGACTAATTTGGGCATTTAGAGTGATGAACGGTCTGGCTGTGCATCATCGGCCAGCAGAGTTGAAGGCCCTGCTTCCCAAAAGGGCAAAGCCACAGCCTAATGAGCTGCTGGCTGGTTTTCTCTCCAAAGTGTTTTCCTTTCCTGCCTGTCCTCTTTAGGGAAACTGCTTTCCCATGTTTGGGTCTCATGTGCTTAGGCGCTTCAACTCTATTGCCTTTTAAATAAGAGGTGTTTGTGGCCTCTTGAAGTCTGTCTGTGGACAGGCGGCGAGATGACCTGAGATGGGATACGGATGCTGGCAAGGAAATGAGCTGCTGCTGTCTTGCAGCTGAGCTACACTCACAAATTGCCCACTGCCACTGCTGAGTAGGGAAAGCTGTGCATGAGTCTCTGTTTCCTTCATCTGTTGGTGATCTGCTTGCACTGTTCTTTATGTTATTTATTCTCTTTTCAGAGAGCTTTATTGCTTTTCTGATTGTGAAAGTAACAGATACCCATTGCCAGAAATAAAATGGATCGCTTGTAATCCCAGCCAATGCTGACATTACTGTGTCTAACCTTACAAACTTTTTTTTTTTTGGTGGTTGGCAGGTAGGAGGATCTCACAAACTTCTCTGCGTATATTTATTCATATTTTTTTCTCTTTTTAAATATCAAAATGGGATCATGCTAATCTATACTCTTTGATAGTCTTTTTTAAAGCATATCATGGACCTGTTTATATCCATAAGTACAAATTCATATCACTTGTATTTCATAATGTTTTTTGTCCGTATATATGGTTATTTATTTAACCAATGACCTTATTGGTGGGTACTTAAGTTGTTTATAGTTTTTCACTATTATAAACACTTTAAAAATATTTTGTATATATATTTTTTGTTTTTCTTTCTTTTAGGTGAGTATATTTAAATCAAATAGTAATTTTTGCTGATAACAACAAAGTCCAGAGTTCCATTCCTGTACTGTCCAGCGGCCTCTGAGTGGCTCCTTTTTTTCAGTTGTTGTGGCTCCTTGCTGCTATGTGGGTCCGTGGGAGCCCTATTAGTGGTCTTGCTGGCCTGGGGCCACCAAGGCCCTCTTCTCTCCTGCCACCTCCAAGCAACTCCGTCCAAAAGGGCACAGCTGTGGCTTTTGCTGGCTACTGCTCTGTGCGCTTGGCAGCTTCAGCCTTAAAGCAGCCTTGGCATGAAATGGTCGGAGTGGTGTTTTCTTTCTGTCATCGTGGATTCTCCCGCCTTCATGCACTCCGTAGGTCTCTCTTCCTCTTCCCCTGAGCTCTAGCACCCCCAGCTTGGCTGTTGTTGCTTTTTTGCGTTGTAAATTGGTTGATTTGTGGGAGAGAGTGACACTGGTGACTGTGTATTCTGCCTTTTTTTTTTTTTGTCCTTTTTGAGACCGGCCGCACCACGCTCAGCCAGTGAGCGCACTGGCCAGTCCTATATAGGATCCGAACCCGCGGCGGGAGCACTCTCCTGAGTGCGCCACGGGCTTGGCCCTATTCTGCCATCTTGACCAGAAGCCTGCATATATGGGGTTTTTTTTGTTTTTGTTTTTTAAGATGACCGTTAGGGGATCTTAACCCTTGACTTGGTGTTGTCAGCACCACACTCTCCCATGTGAGCAACCAGCCATCCCTATATAGGGATCCGAACCCGTGGCCTTGGTGTTATCAGCACCACACTCTCCCAAGTGAGCCACGGGCCGGCCCAATACATATGTATTTTTATAAACACTTTTGAAGAATATTTATAATTGGTATAACATAACTTTTACTGGGTTTAAAAATTTTTTATTGTGGCAAAATATACATAAAATTTACCATTTCAACTAGTTTTTGTTTTGTTTTATTTTTTTCCATTTCAACCATTTTTAAGTGTACAATTCATTGACATTTAGTGCATTCACATTGTTGTGCTATCATCACCACTGTTTATCTCCAGAATATTTTCATCATCCCAGACTGTAACTTTGTACCCATTAAACACTAACTTCCCATTTTCCTCTCCTCCTAGCCCCTCAAGTATACTTTCTTTCTGGTATACTAGTCTACTGGTAACCTGGTAACCTCTAGTACAGTTTCTGTCTCTATGAATTTGACTATTCTAGGTACCTTATATAAGTGGAATCATATAGTCTTTGTCCTTTGTGAACTTTCTGGGTTTTATTTATTTATTTATTTATTTATTTATTTATTTATTTATTTATTTATTTTTGTGGCTGGCTGGTATGGGTAACTGAACCCTTGAACTTGGTGTTAAAAGGCCACACTCTAACCAACTGAACTAACTGGCCAGCCCCTGGTTTTTAAATTACATTAGTAAGATATGTGATTGTTATGGAAAAATCAGATGGTACAGAATAAACTCAAAGATAAAAATGGAAGTCACTCATAATTCCCTTACCCAGAGAAACCACTGATCATTTGGTGTTATATCTATCACAGCATATATAAAATCAACAAAATCCTTTGTATATTAAAATAAACTCATAATATTCATTGTTAGCAAGCATTGTTGAAAAAAGGTGCAACCTCTTTAGGAAGCAGTTTGGAGATATTTATGAGTCTTTAAAATGTTCCCTCTTTGGGCCGGCCTGTGGCTTACTCGGGAGAGTGCGGTGCTGATAACACCAAGGCCACGGGTTCGGATCCCATATAGGGATGGCCAGTTAGATCACTTGGGAGAGCGTGGTGCTGACAACACCAGCTCAAGGGTTAAGATCCCCTTACCGGCCATCTTTTAAATAAATAAATAAATAAAAATAAATAAATAAAATAAAATAAAATGTTCCCTCTTTGGCCAAGTAATTCTGCTCCTTGGTAATGAGAATATACCCTGAAGAAATAATGTCAAATAAGGTGAGCAAACACTATGTACAGAAGATACTCATTATTATATTATTTATAAGAGAAATTGAAAACGCATTAAAGAGCTAGTGATACAGGACAAGGCAATATTATGCAGGGATTAAAAATTATGTTTATTATGTAAAAGTCAAGCATATAGAAAAGTTGAAAGTACAGTATTCAGCTGTATTTGATTAACATTTTGTTTTTATTTTGTGGGGGTTGGGGCATTATGATGACATCATACTTCATATAGTTGAGGGGCTGGCTGGTTAGCTCAGTTGGTTAGAGCACAGCCTTAGGAAACACCAGGGTCATGGGTTCGGATCCCCATACTGGCCAGCTGCCAAAAAAAAAAAGGAAGAAAGAATATAGTTGAGTTTTAAACAAGTGGGCTTAAGGGTTCTGCCCGCCCACTTATAAGCTGGCTCGTTAGCTCACTCGGTAGACTGTGGTACTAATAACACTCAAGGGTTCAGATCCTGATACCAGCCAGTTGCCAAAGGAAAAAAAAAAGTGAAAAACTGGGTATAACTTTTGACTTCACAAAATCTTAACTACTAATAACCTACTGTTGACCAGAAGCCTTACCAATAACAAATAGTTAATTAACATATATTGTGTATGTTATATATATTATATACTGTATTTTTACAATAAAGTAGGCTAGATAAAAGAAAATGTTGTTAAGAAAATCATAGGAGGGCCGGCCCGGTGGCGCACTGGAGAGTGCGCCACTTGGGAGCGTGGCGGCACCCCCGCCGAGGGTTCGGATCCCATGTGGTGACTGGTTCCCACTCACTGGCTGAGCATGGCGCGGGCGCAACACTGAGGGTTGCGATCCTGTTGCCAGTCCCCGGTACGGGCACGACACTGAGGGTTGCGATCCCGTTAACGGCCAGTAAAAAAGACAAAAAGGAAAAAAAAATCATAGGAAAGAGAAAATACATTTTCAGTACTGTACTGTATATTTATTGAAAACAAATCTGCTTATAAGTGTACTCACAGTTCAAATCCATGTTGTTCAAGGATCAACTGTACATCAAAGTTCATGTGTTGCTTTTGGTTCTTGTATCTCTTTTAATCCAGAGTAGGGTTTGGCAAACTGTAGCTTGCCATCTGTTTTTGTAAATAAAGTTTTATTGACACACTCATTTACATATTATCTGTGACGTCTTTTGTGCTATAGATGAGTTAAATAGTTGCAATAGAGACCATATGGCCTATAAAGGCAAAAATATTTACTTGGTTCTTTACAGAGAAAATTTTCCAACTCCTGATCTAGAACAGTTTGCCGGGTTTTTGAAGACTCCAGGCTAGTTATCTTGTAAAATATTGGTAATGTTTGTTTTGTCTTATTTAGTTTTTATTACTTAGACTTATTTAAAGTAAAATTTATTCTTGTTTCCTCATGGTGCATTTTTTTAAAATTTACATATGGTAAAATTTATTCCTTTTTGTTATACAATTCTATGAGGTGAGGGGATTCTGGGTTTTTTTGTTATTTTGTTTTTTCAGTTCTGTGAATTATTATAAAAGTATAGAATTGTGTAATCACCACCACAATCAAGATACAGAGCAGTTTCATCACCCCAAAAAATTCCCTTGTGGTAGGGCTGGCCCGTGGCTCACTCAGGAGAGTGCGGTGCTGATAACACCAAGGCCACGGGTTCGGATCCTATATAGGGATGGCTGGTTCGCTCACTGGCTGAGCGTGGTGCTGAGAACACCAAGCCAAGGGTTAAGATCCCCTTACCGGTCATCTTTTAAAAAAAAAACAATTCCCTTGTGGTGCCTTGTAGTCAGCTCCTTTCCAACCTTCAACCACTGATCTATCCCTGTAGTTGCCTTTTCCATGATATGACATAGATGGAATCATATAGCATGTAGTCTTATGAACCTAGCTTATCTTAGCTCAATGCATTTGAGATTCATTCTCAAATGATTGTGGTATAAATCAATAACTCATCTCGTTTTACTGCTGAATAGTATTCTGTTGTATGGATATACTAGTTTGTCTGTTCACCAGATAAAGAACATTATGGTTGTTTTTTGACAATTATGACTAAAGCCACTATAAACATTCATGTGTTTTTGTATGAACATATGTTTTCATATTCTCTAGGGTGTATAATTGCTGAGTCATATGGTCTATGTTTAACATTTTGAGGAAGTGCCAAACTGTTTTTCACAGTGGCCACACTACTTTACAGTCTTACCAGCAATATATGAGGGTTCCAGTTTCTCCACATCCTTGCCAACAAGTTTTACTGTCTGCGTATTTTAGCCTTAGGAGGTATTAAGTTGTATCTCACTGTGGTTTTCTTTGCATTTATGATGTAGAACATCTTTTCATGTGTTTTTTGTTTGTTTGTTTGTTTTGGCAATTTGTATATCTTCTTTGGAGAAATGTTTATTCTGATTATTTGCCCCTTTTTTGGCAGCAGGCTCTATTTGCACATTTTTAAATTGAGTTATCTTTTCATTGTTAAATTGTAAGAGTTTTCTATATATTCTGGATACAAGTCCCTTATCAGATATATGATTTGCAAATATCTCCCATTCTCTAGGTTGTCTTTTCACTTTCTTGATGGTGGTATCCTTAAAAATACAAGCTTTATATTTTTATGAAATAGTTTTTCTTTTTTTCACGTGTGCCTTTGGTATGATAGATAAGAAATCATTGCCTAATTTACCAAAGTCACAAAGGTTTATTTTTCTATGTTTTCTTCTAAAAGTTTCAGGCCTTAGCTCTTACTTAGATCTGTGATCCATTTTGAGTTGATTTTTGTACATGGTATGAGGTAGGGGTCCAACTTCATTCTTTTGTGTGAGGCGATTCCAGCACCATTTGTTGAAAAGACTTTTCTTTTCCCATTAAATGATCTTGGCATCCTTAATAAGTCAGTTGACGATATATGTAAGATTTTATTTCTGGTCTCAGTTTTCTTCAGTTGATCTGTGTGTTTGTTTTTATGCCAATACATGCTGTCTTGATTCCTATAGCTTTTGTTGTAAGATTTGAAGTGTGAGTTCTCCAACTTCTGTTCTTTTCAAGATTGTTTTGAGTATTCTCAGTCTTTTACACTCCCGTGTGAATTCTAGCATAGATTTTTCCATTTCTACAAAAAAGTTAGCTGGAATTTTGATAGGGATTATGTTGAATATGTAGATAAATTTGTGAAGTGTTGCCATCTTAATAATATTGTTTTCCAGTCTGTGCACATGGGATATTTTTCCATTTGTTTAGGTCTTCTTTAATTTCTTCTAACAGTGTTTTATGGTCTTCAGAATATAAGTTTTGCACTTCCTTTGTAAATTTATTCCTAAGTATTTTATTCTTTTGGATGCTATCGTAAGTGGAATTGTTTTCTTAATTTCATTTTCAGAATGTTCATTGCTAGTGTATAGAAATACAATTGATTTTTGTATATTGATCTTGAATCCTGCAACTTTGCTGAACTCATTCAGTAGTTCAAAAAGTTTTCCTGTGGATTCCTTAGGCCTGTTTTCTATACACTAGATTATGTCATCTTTGAATATGCATTACTTCTTCCTTTCTGATCTGGAAGTCTTTTTTTTTCTTTTTCTTTCCTTAATTGCCCTGGCTCTAACCTCCAGTTCAATGTTGAATATAAGTAGCAAGAGCAGACATTCCTGTCTAGTTCCTGATCTTAGGGAGAAAGCTTTCAGTCTGTCATCATTAACTATGGTGTTGGGTGTAGGTTTTTAATAGATTGATCCCCTTTGTCAGGTTGAGGAAGTTTTCTTCAACAATCTATTCTTAGTTTGTTGAGTGTTTTTTCTCTTTTTAATCATGAAAGGGTGCTGGATTTTGTCACATGTTTTCTGTGTCTGTTGAGAAGATCATGTGGTTTTTGTCCTTTATTCAATTAATATGAAATACTACATTGATTGATGTTTTTCATGTGTTAAACCAACCTTGCATTCCTGCCATTAATCTCACTTAGTCATGGTATATAATCCTTTATATACGTTGCTGGTTCGGTTTGCTAGTATTTTGCTGAGGTGATATACCTTTTTAAAGAGAAAAAAAGTGGGGGGAAAAAAGAAAAAATTGTATAGTATGATCACACAGAATATAGATATATTTTTTAAAAACATAAAAGGAAAAATACTCCCACATTTCATTATCTTTGAGTAGTTGAATTATGGATGATGAGTTTTGCTTTGCTGTATTTCTCTGTATGTTTTAGAGCTCTGTAGTGGACCTTGATAAGCAGGAAGAAAAGATACTTCTGTGGTTGGATAGAATGGGAATGTGCTTGTCCTGGCCAGGGTGTGAGGACATGGGTACCCTCAAACAGTTGGTGGGAGTAGGGATGGATACAGCCTTTTCGGTGGGCAGTTTTGGCAATACATATCAAGACCTAGCTAGCCATCATATATTTCAAAATTCACCTTAAGCAATTACTTGGGCACCTGTGGCAGGATGTGTGGCTGTAGTGTTGAACAGCTTAAGTATTCATCATTAGGTTACAGAACAGAAAAAATAAGTTGATACTACTTGTATTTAAAATTATGTTTAGATATGTGTACTTTTAAAAAATGTCTAGAAAGGTGTGCACCACACTAAGATTGGAGGTGGTCTCCTGGTGATAGGTTTACTTAGGGAGGCATTCCCTTTGGCGTGTCCGTGTTCCAGTTTGCTTAGTTAACAAACACCTTTGTGTTCAAGGGTAGGAATTGGCAGAGCCCACTTCCTCTGGGAAGGTGGTAGAAGAAAGTGTTTTGCTCTCCAGGATGGGTGATTTGGAGGGACAGGTGACAGCATCAGCTAAAATTTGCCCTCTGAATGCCCCATCCGGACCCAGAAGAGCTGGTTTTTGTGGGGGTTGTGAAAACTTTTTCTTCCTCGTGCTTTAATTTCAGGCCCCAGATTTCCCATGCATCTTACATGTTAACACAGGCCTGCTCCCTGACATTTATCTAGGAATAACATGTAACCCACCACCCATTATCAGTAAGAAGAAAATTGCAAGAAGAGAATTGCAAGAATGTGACCGGGGCACTGAAACATCTGATACTTGTAGGACCTTATTTTTAGGAAGCACAGATATAGTCTTTCTTTCCTTTAATGAAATGGAATAAAAAAAGTGTTGTGAAAAAATTCCTGCTTGCCAAAGTTCAAAGGTCTTTCCCAACCACTTATGAACCCCGATCAGATTTAATTTTCATGCCTGAATGCCAGCATTAGCATTGCAGTCTGAATAGACAGGTAGGAAGTGTTTTTATTTGAGAGAGCCCACTACGGAACTTTTCCAAATGTCATATCAGCACTCCTACTTCCTAGTGCTCCATTTCACTTGTCTTCTCTTTTAGGTACTGCTTCTCTGAGATGGCCCCAGTGTGTGCAGTGGTTGGAGGGATCTTGGCACAGGAAATTGTGAAGGTAAAAAGTTGCTGTGGAGTAGAAGTTAGTTGATGTTGTATAGGTGCCGACAGAGATAACCAAGGACTGTCTTAGAGAGCTTTCTCTGATCCCACTCATCCTTGTTTCATGCCCTACCCTTTCCCACTCCATTCCCATGCTCTCCAGCCCATCCAAATGACCTTTGAGTGCCTGCTCTGTGCTAAGCCCAGAGCTGGACTTAGTGCCTTTAAGGTGCTATCTACTGTCCCCTAACTATACCTATCATGTTTGTCAGGTATTCTGCTTCTCACACTCTATGAAATGGGTATTATTGTGATTCCCATTTGAGAGGAAGACAGTGAGGTCCAGAAAAGGGACTCTAAGAACTGTGCTTTTAACCTATTTTATACAGTTTTTTTTCCATACATCACCATGGCGTCAAAGCTCCTCTCTTTAACCCACACACCATAGGTATTTGTAGAGAAGGAGGAAAATCAATGTGTGTGGAGAAAAAAAGAAAAAAAATGTTCAGAACACGTGCACTATGCCAGGAGTCCCACAGGCTCTTTGCAGGGTGACTCGTGACCACATTAAGTAGGTGTTTTTTGTCTCTCTCTCAGGGAAGTATCTTATGCTGGATCACATAACCAATACCTAGCACTGCCTTTAGAGTCTCTTCTGCAACATTTGGGTTGCTGAAGCTATAGGACACCCCAAATATATTTTACTTTCTTTGGAGACTTTGATATTTGCCCAAAGATGTTAAATTTGCCTTTTGTAGATTCTCACTTGCTTTAGTGAAATTGTAATGATTTGTTCTTTTCTTTTGTGGGATGGACTCATGCCTGGTCAGATGGTTTCCCAAGTCCATGTACATGTCAAGTTTGAGTTTAGGAGGACAATGTGGAAACCCAGCCTTACCACTTTGTCTTGGGATCTGTAAATTTGCTCTGGAGACATTGACTCAATTTGATAGTCACACCATTTTCTTTTTTCTTTCCTTTTTTTGTCTTTTTTCGTGACCGGCAACGGGATCGCAACCCTCAGTGTCGCGCCCGCACTGCGCCCAACCAGTGAGCGGACCGGTCTCTACATGGGATCCGAACCCTCGGCGGGAGCGCTGCCACACTCCCAAGCGCCACACTCTACGGAGTGCGCCACCGGGCCGGCCCACACCATTTTCTTAAGGCTACTTTTTTCTCTCTTCTTTCCTGGTCATTCTCTCTGGACTAAATTATTCCTCTACCCTAATCTAATCTGCTTCTACATTATAGGTGCTATATTAATCTGTTCCTGTTACTTATAACAAAATATATGGAACAGGGTAATTTATAAAGAAAATGAAATGTATTGCTTACAGTTTCAGAGGCTAGCTAGTCCAGAGTCCAGGGAACACATCTGGTGAGGGTCTTGGTGGTGACTTCAGTGACAGCGGGGTATCACATTGTGAAAATGGCAGAGCAGAGAAAGCGAGAGAGAGATAGAGACAGACTCTCCTCTCTCCTTTTAAAGCCCTCAGAACCACGCCCCTGACCACCTTTTTTTTTTTTTTGTCTTTTTCGTGACCGGTAAGGGGATCGCAACCCTTGGTGTGGTGTCGCCCACACCGCGCTCAGCCAGTGAGCACACCGGCCATCCCTATATAGGATCCGAACCCGCAGCGGGAGCGTCACTGTGCTCCCAGCGCTGCACTCTCCCGAGTGAGCCATGGGCTCGGCCCCTTGACCACCATTTTTAATCCATTCACTACTGCACGGTCCTACAATCCAATCACCTCTTCAAGGCTCCACCTTTCAATTACCATAATAGGATTTCTCACCCTCTTAACAGTCACAGTGGGGGACAAATTTCTAATATATAAAACTTGGGGGACACAATTCAAGCTTCAGTGAGTTTGGGGGGACATAATTCAAGCTTCAGTTTGTTTTGGGGGGATATTATTCAATCCACTACAGGTGCCAAGGAGGGGAAAGAAGAGAAGTATGTAATGGCCATACCTGTTCCCTTGTTCACACCTTCTGCTTAGCCCAGAGTGATGTGAAAATTTCGGTTTATATGCCCAGTTGGAGAAATTGGTAGTGGCCGCCCAGAGGACTGTATTGAGGATTCTTTTTTTTTTTTTTAAAAGATGACCGGTAAGGGGATCTCAACCCTTGGCTTGGTGTTGTCAGCACCACGCTCACCCAGTGAGCAAACCGGCCATCCCTATATAGGATCCGAACCCGTGGCCTTGGTGTTATCAGCACCGCACTCTACCGAGTGAGCCACGGGCCGGCCTTGTATTGAGGATTCTGAGGCTGCCTTTAGACAGACTCTGCAGGAAAGAATGCAATGACGGAAAAGCCATAAGGTGGGGAATGGGAACTTACATGTCTTTGTAGCCTATAATGATGACACTACCACCACTAGTAATAATACATTTACTGAAAGCCCACTATGTGCCGCACAAAGACTGTATATTCTTTATGTGGATAAATTCACTTTATCTCACAAAAACCCTACGAGGTAGGAACTGTTTTGTCAGCACCACGCTCAGCCAGTGAGTGAACCGGCCATCCCTATGTGGGATCCGAACCCGGGGCCTTGGTGTTATCAGCACCGCACTCTCCCGAGTGAGCCACGGGCTGGCCCAGGAACTGTTTTGATCCCTAATATATATAAGAGGAACTGAAGTGCAGAGAAGTGAAATTGCTTGCCCAAGCTAGTAAGTGGTAGAACCTGGATTTAAGACCAGGCAGTCTGGTTTCTGAGCCTGTGCTCTTCACCACTTGGCAGTTGTGTCTCAGGTATTGTCCCTGAATGGCACCCATGTCCAGAGACTATGCATGGACCCCAGTGCTGCTGTCCTTGTACCCTCAGCCTCACTTCTGTATATCCCCTTGAGAAGCTACTCCCTGAGTTTTTCATGTGGGATGGAGATTGGAGGTCGAGGCAAGTGGCCTTGACACCACTGTTTGTGGTGGCTTCTCTCCATCCCAATCCTGTTGCAGCCCCCTTCTTTCTGCCTGCTGGGGACAGCTGTTGCCCAGCATCTTGTTTCTGTTTATCCCAGATAGCCAGAGGACTCTGCATTCTTGGTTGCTGGGTGTGTTTGGCATCTTCTCCTACCCCATCTTGCTTGGGAAGCACTTTACCTTTTGCCCCATGTTTACCCCATGCTCTGCTCTCTTATGCCTGCCACTCCCCCTTACTTATATCACAGTTCCAGCCTTCAGCCAGCTGGCAGGAGGGTCCTACAATCTGAGGACCTCAGTCTCTCCCTTCTCTCATGAGGCACTATTTGACTACCTATAAAAAATAAATATCGTGAGATGGAGGCCGTAATTCTGTTCCCTTAGAATTATCTTTTGGTTTTTTTTCCTTTTTTACGTTCTTCCAGACACCATATTTTATATGTCCATTGTCATGTCATGCTTACTTAAGTTTAAATCCTCCTTCCTTTCTCCCCATCCCTACTGTCTATGGCAGGTCTCTCTGCCTGCAGTAGTAGAGATGACAGTGAAAGCAGCAGCCACAGCAGGCTCGATGTTAAAACATGTCCCATCTCATGTAACCTGGGTTTGAGGGTCTGGGAGTTCCATCTGTGGGGTGTTGGGCCCTTCCACCTGGCTGAGTGTGTGGCATCTGCACATATTGGTAAAGGACCCCTGGCCCCCATTAGTAATAACAGCTCTTACTTATTGAGAATTTACTGCGTGCCATTATAAGCCTGATTGAGTTTTGTTCTCACCAAAAACTCTAGCAGGCAGGGGCTATTTATTTGCCCATTTTATATGCAGACTCAGAGAAGCAAACCTCTATCTAATCCAAGCTCCGTGTGGGCAAGGACTTTCTCGGAATCCTTAATATCTAGAATAATACCTCGCACAGAGTAGATGCTCAATAAATTTTCCTTGGCTGAGTGGCTGAATAACCACTTGAAGTAGATAAAATCTTCCCCATTTTACAGACACGGAAATGGAATAGGATTGGCTTTTAATTCTAAGAGGGGCAGTTCAGAATGTTTAAAACCTGTTTCTAACCTCCTCAAGGAGGTCACCTTCCTTGTAAATGATGAGCATGGTGCTTCCAGGAACCACTAAACTCTGACCTGGCAGCTTTACTTAGGTGATATCCTCTTTATCAAGGAGGTCACCTTCCTTGTAAATGATGAGCATGGTGCTTCCAGGAACCACTAAACTCTGCCCTGGCAGCTTTACTTAGGTGATATCCTCTTTAGTTATTTTTATAATTAATTAATTTTTTAAAAGATGACCCAGTAAGGGGATCTTAACCCTTGACTTGGTGTTGTCAGCACCACGCTCTCCCAAGTGAGCCACAGGCGGCCCTATGTCCTCTTTAAATGGTAGTTTGTAGTGAAGTTCCAACTCTTTTTGGGTTAAGCACCCCTTTGAAAATTCACTGACACCTATGAACCCTTTCCTCAGATAAATATAGGTACACACATGAGAGCATGTAAGGTTTGACCCCATCTTTAAAAGTGCTCTATCCTGGTAACCCCACAAGATAATCACCATTTCTATAGCTGAATGGCATTGCCTAGGCCCTCTGGATCCCAGCCCTGGCCCACCTATGGAAGGCCAGCAGCACTGTGTCCTCATGGAAGAGCTGCCTTCTGCATCAGTGTGTCCCCCTATTAAATTTGTCCCCTCAGGTGATGAAGGCTGCAACCTAAAAAGTGTTGAAATGAATGCTTCCTTTCTCAGTTGAATAGTCATAAATAATTATTGCTGCCGTTTGCCCAGTGGTGCTACTCTGTGCTAGCCATTGTTTTAGATATTTGAGGTATATCATCTCTCTTAATCTCCAGGATAATACATTTGTTATTCTCATGTTACCTGGGTAAAGTAAGTTCAAAGAGGTTAAATGATCTGCCCAAGGACATGCTGCTGGTGAGGACCAGAGGATGACAATCAAAATTGTCTCCAGACATTGCCAAATAGCCCTGGGGAGCCAAATGAGAACCACTGCTCTAGACTGCTTTTTTAAGATCTTTTTTTTTTTTTTTTCCTTTCCTCCATTTATCCCTTTTAAAGGACTTGAGCTGAACCCTCTTTTTATTTTTCTCCCCAGGCCCTGTCTCAAAGGGACCCTCCTCACAACAACTTCTTCTTCTTCGATGGCATGAAGGGGAATGGGATTGTGGAATGCCTTGGCCCCAAGTGAACCCAAGCCTTGGCAGCCCCAGAGATGCTGACCTGCAGCATACCCACATGTATTCCCTGTCCCCTGCCCCCCACAGAGGCATCTCCAGACAGGGAGAAGGGAAGTCATTGGCCCAATACAAAGCGTTTCCTGAGAGCAAAGTGTCAATTGGCCGCTGTCTCCATTCCAGCACTGCTCGGGACTGTTTGCCACCCCAGGCCTGCTAGCTCCCCTGAGTGGTGATCGCCTCGAAACACCGCTCTGACATCTCTCTGTCCTGGTGCCATCTCGGCGTCACCAGACCTCTGGGGTATTGTTGGAGATGCCTGCCAGGAAACAGCACAGCACACCTTGTTGCTTAGGAGCCTCTTGCCACCCTCTTGGACTTATTCTCTGCCTGATGTCATACAAAGAAAAACATGACTTCAGGTGGGGAATAAGCTCAGATCTAGTGAAACGTCATGGAACCACAGTTCCAAATACAGACAGGTGCCCTGAAGAAGAAAAACTATGACAAGTGGAATGTATTTCCTCCAGTTTGAGATCCTGAAAAACAACAGGTGGCATCTGTTGTGCTGTTCTTGGGTTTTAGTTTAGGATTAGTCGAGTTCCAGCCTGGATTTTGGAAGAGGGGAAATGTTACTAAGTCCTCTTGGATATTAGAGTGAGACCTTGCAAGTTGAATATTATTGGGAGAGCTAGTTTTAAAAAGGCAGGTTCCTGGGTCCTACTCCTGGAGCTTCTGGGCTGGGACAGAGGAGCCTGCCGTTTTAACAGGATCCCAGTCACTGAGGTGGCACAGACCACTCTGGAGGCTGTTGCATTTAAGGGCTGTGTCAGTCCTTCAATTCCTCCTGTATTGCAGCTGTTTGTGTTTTATATATTTTCTAGATTTTCCTTGGTTCTTTAAAAAGCAATGATAGAAATAAAGTTATTTGCTTTAGGATTGGCTTGTTTTTCTTTCACTTTAGAAACACCTTCTGACAGGGATGATCCTACCAATTGCCTTGTTAGACCTGAAGAAATATCACTTCATGCTTTGACATGACTTGAAGATTCCTCTCGGCACTCACCATATCTGCCACCATTCTTTTGGGTAATGCAGCAAGAGTTAGATTGCTCAGATTGTACAGCATGTAGAAGCTCTGGCTCCAGTTGTCTATTGAGTAATTCAGCTAAATAGTGGCTGTTTTCAGTGACAAGAATTAAAATAATAATGAAAAAGAAGTGAAACAGGTGATACTGATTCTACCATCTATTTAGATTCTCTGTGTGCCAGGCATTGATTATATAGAGTAAGAGTGGGTGATGGTCCCATTTTAAAATTAAGTGAGGCTTAAGTAACGTGCCCAAAGTCCCATGGTTGGTAAGGGTCAGAGCTTTCATTGGAACACCAGGTTTGTCTTGACTCAGCAGCCGGAGCATGATCCAGTTCACGTCACCTTTCTCATGTTTCTCTTTGATGTAAAATTGTGGAAGGTTCGGATAAATCAGTCCCTTTCCTGTTTCAGTCCTGCTGTAGTCAGCGGGAAAAAAACTGGTCTCTACTAGGAGAAGGAACTCGACTCCCCAATGCTCTGTCACCCCTGCTCCCACCCTAGGTGAGACTAGCCTGCATTTCTGGAAGGGGTTCCTTCCTGGGCACCATTAGTGCAGTTGGTGGTGGCGCCAGGATCAGCAGTTTTATTGACACATGAATCTCACAAGGGCTTGGGCTAATTATACCCTTGACTTTGCAATGTGCAACCTTGGTCACAAGAGGGAGCAGTTGTGTCTGGATGGATAAAAACAAAATTGTCAGAATCTTCTCTGTGCGTGTGCGTGTGCGTGTGCGTGTGTGTGTGTGTGTGTGTGTGTGTGTGTGTATCTCAGGGAATGAACCCTACAAACTTTTTTCCCTGTACCTCTAATGACAGAGATTGAATCACCCGGAGAGGACCCCTTGGGCATCGGGGGTGGGTAGTGCTTGAAGCTGCCAGCCCCAGGAAAGAAATGTCTTTATTCTGGTTTCTTCAAAGTTCATGTACTCCCATATTACATGTTTGTATTATCATAAAAATGGATTTCCCTGAGTCTCCAGGAAGGTGCACAATGATTACCCTGTGATTTCTAGTACCTCCAGGAAGCATGTTGCCCACCTGGGAAGGAGGATCTAATTTATGAAGGTAACCAATGCTTTTGGGATGCTGGAGTTACCAGTGAAAGAAAACATGACCTGCCTTTGAGGCTGCCACGTTTTTCCACTTCATACCACACTTCTCTTGTCTCTGCTGTGTATAGTAACCAAATTGTTAAGTGTTTAATTAGTGTTGAGAATGTCGAAGCCTTACACATTCTAGGAAAATAGGTGCTACTCAAGTAATACACACAAAGGTAAATAATTGCAAGACATGGGCTGGCTGGTTAGCTCGGTTGGTTAGAACGCAGCCTTGTACCACCAAGGTCATGGGTTCAGCTCCCCATACTAGCCAGCTGCCCCCCCCCCCGAAAAATTGCAAGACACTAGAAAGTTCTCAGTCTTATCACCCCTGTGTTTTTGTAGTTTCCCTTTGCAGTGTAGAGCTTTTTGGCAGTTTTTTGCATTTTGGGGTTAAATATCTGTTGAGGTATGTCCTATTAGCCTCTTTACAGGTACAGAAGTGGAGGCTTAGGTTGCAGTTGGCAAGTCAAAAGAATTTAATAATAATAGCTAATGTTGATTATGCTTATGCTACCTGCCTGGTACCTTTCAAAATACCTGTGCTTAGATTTTCTTTCTTTTGGCAGCTAGCCAGTACAGGGATCAAATCCTGGACCTTGGTATTATTAGCACCATGCCCTAACCAACTGAGCTAACCAGCTAGCCCTAAAATATTTGTATTTTGAGTTTTTTGGATCCTCACGGCAATCCCATGGGAGTAGGTATAGTTTTCATGCCTATATTGCAGATAAGGAAACAGCCTCACTGCACAAGTAAGGGATGGAACAGCGGTTGACTGGCACATGCAGTATATTTAGTAGATATTCATTTAGTGGCACTGCTTCTTTAGCTCAGTGAGAACAAGGAGACTCGGACCTTGCCTTCACAAGCTCTGAGACTCAATAGTTACTGGAAAACATCACCCAAGCGCAGGTGCTGAGGAAGGGCCTTCAGCTGGGTCAAGAAGGGCAAGCAGGTTTGGCTTTTAACCTTGTAAAACATTCAAGCAATATACAAGCATAAATAGTAAAAAGATTCCTCTCCACTGTATCATGCAGTGATGTGATGTCAGCTCAATGTTGGCCACGTAACAGGAGCAGCTGACTCTACAGCTAAACTCAGGATTTTGGAGGGAAACATGAGATGCTCTTCGGTTGTGTTAGCTATATCCACTTTAATATCTACTCCCCAGAGGTCACCCCTGGTAATCATTGAGAGTGATTTCTAACAGACTGCCAGGTTCAAACCCATATTCTACCTCTTAGCTGTGTGACCTGCGGCAGGTGATATTTTTTGAACTTCAGCTGCACCATCTGTAAAATGGGGATAATAGTAGTACGTTCCTCAGATATGTGGGGATTAAATTAATTCATTTTTTGAGTATACATTGCTTAGTGTTAGATGCTTTTATTATGCATATTCATAAATAACTTTTTCTGCAACTTGCTTTTTTCTCGGTATATCTTGGAGATCCTTGTCAGTGCATCATGCGTCAAATTCCAGAACCACAGATGAACCATAAGCTATTTAATCAGTCTGCTGCTGAATGACGTTGAGCTTGTGTCCTTTGTACACATTTAGGGAAAACTCCCCAAAGCTAAATTCCAAAGTAAGAGGGTATATTAGTTTGTTTCTGTTGCTTATAAAACAAAACATCTGGGGTCTGGCCCGTGGCTCACTCGGGAGAGTGTGGTGCTGATAACACCAAGGCCACGGGTTTGGATCCCATATAGGGATGGCCGGTTAGCTCACTGGGTGAGCGTGGTGCTGACAACACCAAGTCAAGGGTTAAGATCCCCTTACCGGTCATCTTTTTAAAAAAAAAACAAAAAAAACCAGAACATCTGGAACCGGATAATTGATAAAGAAATGACATTTGTTTCTTACAGTTTCGGAGGCTGGGAAGTCCAAAATCCAGGAAACACATCTGGTGAGGGCCTTCTGTGTGGGAACTCTCCACAGCAATGCAGGATATCATATGGCGAATCAGCTGAGCAAGAGACAACTTTCTCACTGGCTCTCCTTATGAAGCCATCAGAACCATGCACATTAGTCCGTGAATAGATCAATTCATTCACAATGTCCTCACAATCTAATCACCTCTTAAAGGCCCCACCTTTCAATTGCCATAATTGGATTTCCCACCCTCTTAACACTTAAAAGGAAATTAAGTTTCCAATACATGAACTTTTGGGGGACACATCTGACCCATAGCAGAGGGTATATAAATGTATTTTAGGTGTTGTTACTTTTTTGTTGTTGTTGTTGTTGCTGGCCAGTATAGGGATTGAACCCTGGACCTTGTCATTATCAACACTGTGCTTTAACCAAGTGAGTTAGCTAATTGGCCAGCCCTGGTGTTGGTACTTTTCAAAAGGCTATAGGGTAGTAGTAGCATTTACAGCAACAAGTTTTTTTTTTTTTAGCATTTGTTTTTTGGATAGATAATACATGCATTTGATACAGATTTGAAAGGCTTACAAATATACACAGAAGTGGTTTTTTTGTGGTTTTTTTTTTTTTTTTTTTTTAAAGATGACCGGTAATGGGATCTCAACCCTTGACTTGGTGTTGTCAGCACCATGCTCTCCGCAGTGAGCAACCAGCCATCCATATATAGGGATCCGAACCCCTAGCCTTGGTGTTATTAGCATTGCACTCTCCTGAGTGAGCCAAGGGCCGGCCCTTTTTTTTTTTTTTTTTAAGATGACTGGTAAGGGCCGGCCCGGTGGCACACTGGATAAGTGTGCCGCTTGGGAAGCGCGGCAGCGCTCCCGCCCGAGGGTTCGGATCCCACATGCAGACCGGTTCCCGCTCACTGGCTGAGCGAGGCGCGGGGGCAACGCCGAGCGCTGCAATCCCGCTGCCGATCCCCCGCCCGGCACCGCGC